TGGATCCACACACACACACACACACACACACACACACACACACACACAGAGAGAGAAACGTGTCAGACACGCAAAAAATAAGATGCAATCTACACAACACAAGTAAACAACATCCTGCAGTAAAAGTGTCAGAACACAAGCAGCGCTCTGACACTATAAAAGATGTCAGCAGGAACTGGGCCAAGGCCATCAGTGCATTTGAACAGAATTTGAGAACTTACAGCATTCTTCCCCTGAATCTGACAGGAACTGCATGTTTTGCATTCGATGCATTGCCATCGCAGGGCCTTGACATTTGCAGTCAAATCAGCAGAGAACTTCAGGCATGATGGATGGCCTTTGAGGAGAAATGTGGAATAAAACAAACAGACTTTAGAGAGTCTCCAAACATGCTCAATTAAAAAAGCGACATTACCTAATCCTTTAACTTTGGCAGGAAACACAAAAGCCCTTGCTGAAACATTACAGGATAAATGTTAACAGAGACTTAATCAAGCGGAGAGAGAACATCAAAACGCAACAAATGAAAGATTCCCCTGACCGTGGATCAGTTAAATATTTACACGTGGCATCAACAATGCGAAAAGCCATGCGTGAAGACTTTCCAAAATCGGTGTCTAAAAGCACTGTATTATCAAACACTTCTGAGCGGCTAATTAAGGATAATTTGATCTTAACGAGGCAGAAATGGTACGCTCATACACCGTAATGGCAGTCGATCCATTATAGTCATGTAAAAGCATACACTCCTATCCCTGAGGGCTGCGAACCAGCTGCGGTTTACAGTGGGAGCACATTTTCTATACTTTCATGAACACTTAATGAAAACCACCTCTGCGTTGTTAAGTCAAACTCAGTCATAAAAATGTCACCGGGAGAACAATTCCTTGTGGCATTTCAAAATCACTGTTCAAAACAAATTACGACATGAGAGCAGGTAATTTAACAGGAACATGGCAATTCTGTCTGGAGGAGGGAAAAAATAAATAAATTAAGAGTAAAAGAAACAAGCAAGCGAACTTGAAGCAGGGGGAAAAACTGCACACCTTTCAGCTTGAATCCATCTGTGATTGTGTAAAACCCTTCTGCCAAAACTTCTACAGAATAGACAATTTTTATAGTAAAAAATAAAAAACAATTCTTTTGTTTGCCTTCAAGCATCTTGAGATATTTTACCACATTTCTCAAACATACATCAAGAACTACTCAAGTTGCATCATAACTAAATATATATATATAGGCCTATATATATATATATATATATATTTTTTTTTTTTTTTTCACCATACATTCATATATAGCCAATATTCTCATCATTTTAATGTTGATTAGCATAGGGTTTAACAGGGTTTTTTTCAATATTCACCGATGACCATTTTTCTCCCCGTCTCATCATCTGTCTTGACATTTCCTGGGCTGTTTCAAAGATTTATACATCATTCTACATACATTATCAAAAAATGAAACTGACTGAATCTGGGCTGAAAATATGAGCCGCAAATTAAGCAGATTGAACAACAGAAATTTAGACATGGAGAAAACGTAGTCTGCATGTAAAATAATCCAGGTTTAAACATATTTAATGCAAACACTGGCTAATGAAGATGATATCTTGGCACACACCCGCTCTGATGCGAGATGATAAAAGACATGCAGATAAATGCAGATGGACAACAAACTAGTGCTGGGTGGTATACAATACCGGTGTATGTCGCCCGTCATGTACCGTGAAACCGGTATAATTTTGAAAAATACCGTGATATAAATTTTTGGTCATACCGCCCAGCACTACAACAAACACTTCGTCAGTAAAGCCGGTTCCGTGATTGGTAGTAAATCTCCATCACCTGCTTTCAAATGGAGCAGCATCTAATACACAGAGCCGTAGTTCACTGACAAGCTAGGCAATATCACGTTCATAATCGAAATGAATGTACAGTTTCTGTTTTGGCCAAAAACTTTCATTTTGGCGCATCACTATCTCTGACAAACTCCATTCTGGATTTGACTCAATCACATGATCATGTGATATCAATTGACACTGCTGATGATTGAAATACTGTACTACTAAAAAAAAAATCATTAAACTAAAAAATAATTCCTAATATTTCAACATAACCGACAGTTATAAGCAGGTGTCCAAACAAAAATTGCTGGTTTGGTTACAGCCAAATGGTTAGTTACAAAGTTTGATTCACACTTCAACCAATAACATTCCTAGTTATATGATAACTTGCTTTCGGCTATATGGCACAGACGTTCAGATGATGCACTGCCCATATATAGCCACTGTTTAGGCTGAGAGTTCAAACATGGGTCTTACCGCTACTCCCACAGTCAGCACAGGACAGCAGCTCCTCTGGCCTCTTGTCTCGATTGGACTCCTTTGTGCCCAAACAGAAGCTGCATATGGGTATGGGATCAGCACGTGGCTATATATATAGAGAGAGAGAGAGAGAAAGAGCATACTTTTAATTGATGTAAACTTTTATTTGAATATAAATGGCAACATTTCTTTCAAAAGTTTCTTTAAAAAAAGGTTTACAAAGTCTACATGTTTGACAAAACAAAACACTAAAGACTCCAACTAATATAGGCACCACTCAGTCTGAGAGTTCAAACATGGTTCTTACCACTACTCCCACAATCAGCACAGGACAGCAGCTCCTCTGGCCTCTTGTCTCGATTGGACTCCTTTGTGCCCAAACAGAAGCTGCATATGGGTATGGGATCAGCACGTGGCTATATATATATAGAGAGAGAGAGAGAGAGCATACTTTTAATTGATGTAAACTTTTATTTGAATATAAATGGCAACATTTCTTTCAAAAGTTTCTTTAAAAAAAGGTTTACAAAGTCTACATGTTTGACAAAACAAAACACTAAAGACATCCTCCAACTAAACCTCCAACAGCTGAAGGAGTGCAGTGCCTTAAATCATATTTAGTGTACACACACACACACACCAAGGTTTGAAACAAAGTACGACTATTATTAAACAAGGCACATGAGTGGCATGGACAATGAGTACAGATTAGAAGATAAAAGATTTGGCATGTGTTTTGATTAGCTTTGTTTGAATATCGGGTGTCAAACTAGACAGGTGGTTACAAACCCAGGGAGCCGGCTAGTTATTAAGCATGTGATTATAGAGGACAGATATGCGGTGCCAAATATAAAGCAGTTCCTGGCAGAGGAAGGGTACCAACCCAAGTCAAATCAATCTTAAATTGCTCTGTTAAATGAAAATGAACATTGTAGGTATGTTAGATGTAGGCTACCGATGCTTTAGTACCAAGTACCAATATGAAAATAAAGATACTAGAACAGTACCAGCCTTTCTGCAGCATTGGTAGTACAGGCTCAAATTTAATTGAGTGCTGTCTGACTGACAATGGCTGCTGATCCAAATGATCAGGTCTGTGAATTTGGCATTGCAGTGTAAATACAACCTAATAGTGGTGATGCTGTCAATTATATAAAATAAAACCAAACCACAATAAAAAATAAATTAATAGATACATAAATAAATACATTTAAAAGAAAGAAAAAGAAAACCTCACATTGCTCTCACTTAGAAAGACTACATAACTTAGAATATTGGCAGGTAGGGATGTAACGATTAACCGCGAGCCGGTTGAAAATCGATTCAAATATGTGACAATTCAAATCGGTTGAGATGCTAAACAAATCGCGATTCATTTAGGTGTAGGAGTTTATATGAATGTATGTCTGAGGGGAACTTACTGTCTTTAGAAAAGTTTAGATGGTATTATTTATTTTCATCTTGCCTCTGTATAATGCATATTAAAGTTCATAAAGCGCTGCTTTGTTTTTGCAGCGGAAACCAAGGAAACGCTTTAAGCGCCACCTGCTGGCAGAGAGTGAATATGCGTCTCATTCAGCTCTGCTGTTTCATGCAGATATTTTTATTTATAGTTTCACAAAACTGAAGTCAAACCATTCTGTTTTTGCTTCAAATTTCAAAATTATACAATCCAATTTAGATTAAAAACTGCTCATGTTGCATGTATGCAGCATCTTTGTTTGGATCAAGATTAAAATGCAGCGGTTGCCTCTAATTTTAAAA